TCTCTTTCTTTCTCCTCTCTTCTTCTCCTACTTTCTTCTCCTCGTCTATTTCTCGTAATATTTTTATTCCTTTTCCTCGATTCTATTTACTTTTTTTTTATCTTTTTGTTTTTTTGTTTTCCTTCTCTCTTCTTCCCTCCTCTTCTTGATCTTTCTTCTCCTTTCCCTTTCTTTCTTCAAATTTCTCATTTCCCTTTCGTTCTTCAAATTTCTCCTTTCCCTTTCTTTCTTCAAATTTCTCCTCTCCCTTTCGTTCTTCAAATTTCTCCTTTCCCTTTCGTTCTTCAAATTTCTCCTTTCTCTTTCTTTCTTCAATATTCTCCTCTTCTTCTTTTTTCATCTTCTTCCTCCTCCTTCTCCTTCTCGTTGCTCTTTTCCACCCCTTCCTTTCTTTCTTCTTCTTCATTATCCTTTTCTTCCTACCTCCCCGACTTTTCTTATTCTTAGTTTTTTTTTCTCCTCCTCTTCCTCCTTCTCCTGCCCCCCCCCCTTTTCTTCCTCTTCTTTCTCTTCCTCCTCTCCCTCTTCCTTCTCTACCTCCTTCTCTCCTTCTTCCTCTTCCTCTTTCTCTTCCTCTCACCTTATCTCTTTTATTTCATTTTCTTCTTCTCCTCTTCTCCTCTTCCCTTTCACTCAATATAAACAAGTGAATAACGAATAAATATGTAGATATAAAAATAAAATAAATAAGACAATGGGGAGGAATTGAAAAAGTAAATAAATGAATAAATAGATAAATAAATAACGAAAAGACAAACGAATAAAAAAAAGGAAGTACGAGAAAAGATAAGAAATAATCAAACAAACAAACAAACAAAACAAACAAAACAAACAAACAAGCAAAGCAAACAAAACAAACAAAACAAACAAACAAAACAAACAAACAGACGAAGCCTCTTTTCCGGCCGATAATATTTTCTCGAAGATTCAGCTGCCCCCCCCCCCACCGCCCTCCCCACCCCCCCTTATTCCCTATTCTCCCTTCACCCCCCTTTTCTCTCCCTATTTCTATCCTTTGACACTGAGTGGCCCCTCCCTCCCTCCCTCTACTCCCCCTCCCCCCCTCCTTTCCCCTCTCCCCCTCCCACTCCTTTCCCTTCGCTCCTCTTATTCTTTTCTTTATTTCATGCTTCTTTATTTCCCTTACTTCTGTTAGACCCTTTTTCTTTCTCTCTCTCTCTCTCTCTCTCTCTCTCTCTCTCTCTCTCTCTCTTTCTCTCTCTCTCTCTCTCTCTCTGTCTCTCTCTCTCTCTCTCTCCTTTCCCCCTTCCCTCTCTCCCTCCCTCTCTCTCTCTCTCCCTCTCCTTTCCCCCCTTCCTTCCCTCCCTCCCTCCCTCCCTCCCTCTCTCCCTCCCTCTCCTTTCCCCCCTTCCTTCCCTCCCTCCCTCCCTCCCCACCTCCCTCCCCTCCCTCTCTCTCATTCTCTCTTTTCCTCCCATCCTCCCATCCTCTCTGTCTCTCCATCTCCCCCCCTTTTTTTTTTTCTTTTTACCTTTTCACAGTCTACAGGTTTTTGTCGAGTACATAACCGCTGGTCCTAATCGAGGCTCCAGGAACGTCTTTGGCAAAGGAGTGGGGGGGAGGGGGAGGGGAGAGGAAGGAAGAAAGGGAGGGGAGGGGAGGAGGAGGAAGGGGAGGGTAGGATGGGATGGGGAGGGAGGGGAGGGTAGGAGGGAGAGGAGGGGAGGGGAGGGGAGGGAGGGGAGGGGAGGGAGGGGAGGGGAGGAGGAGGAAGGGGAGGGTAGGGTGGGAGGGAGGGGAGGGTGGGAGGGAGGGAAGGGAGGGAGGGAAGGGGAAGGGAGGGGAGGATGGGAGGGATGGGAAGGAAAGGGAGGGAGGGGAGGAGGGAAGGGAAGGAAAGGAAGGAGGAGGAAGGGTTGAGAAGGAAGGAAAGGAGGAAGGGAAGGAAAGGAAAGGAGGAAGGGAAGGAAAGGAAAGAAGGGAGGAATGGCAAGGAGGAGAAAGGGAGGAAGGGGAGGGAATAAGGAAGGTAGGAGGAAGAGGAAGACAAGGAAGGAAGGAAGGAAGAGAGGGGAAAGAGGAGAGAGGGAAGGAAGGAAGGAAGGAACTGAGGGAGGGAGAGAGGAAGAGGGAGGAGGATGTTAGGAGAAAGGAAGCAGAGGGGGAAAGAAAGTAAGTGAAAGGGAAGGAAGGAATAGAAAAGAAGGAAAGAACGAAAAGAGGAAGAAAGAAAGGAAGGGAGGATCGAGGAAATGAGGTAGAAGGAGTAACAAAGGAAAGAAAAGAAGGGAGAGAAGAAAGTGGGGAGGGGGGAGGAAAGGACGGAGGAGGAAGCAAGGAAGAAAAAGGAAAAGAGGTAAGAATAGTGGTAAGAATTAGGTAGAAGGGGGGGAGGGAGGAGAGGTGGAAGGGGAGGCAGAGGAAAAAAGAAAAAAGGCGGAGGAAGGAAAGGATTAAGAATAGGAGGAGGAAGGAAAGTAGTAATAATAGACGAAAGAGGAAATGGATGCGGAGGAGGAGGAAGAAACGAAGAAAGAGGAAGAGGAAGAAAAGAAGGAAGAAGAAGCGTAGGAGGAGGAGAACGTGGAGGAGAAGGAAGAGGAGGAGTAAGTAGAAGAAGGAGGAGGAGGAGAAAGAAGAGGAGAAGAGGAGGAGGAAGAAGAAGGAGGAGGAGGAGGAAGAAGAGGAGAAGAAAGAGAAGGAAGAGGAGGAAGAAGAGGAGGAGGAGATGATGAAACGTTGATAAACAGAGTGAAAGAGAGAATCGAGAGGAAAAGAGAGTGAATAAACAAAATTGATCTAAAAATCCTAAAAAAAATAAAAAAATCATAGACAAACAAACAGATAAATATTTAAACAACGATACCACGAAGAAAAAAACAAACAAACAAACAACAAAACAAGGAAAAAAACGAAGAGGGAAGCAACTCGTCCTTTACCCTCAACCCCTCCCCTCCCCCCCCTTCCTTCGTGTCTTCCCTTCCTTTCTCTCCATCCCCCTTCCCCGCTCCCTCCCCTCCCCCCCCTCGACAACTGAAATTCGAGAACGACATCGCACATGGGGATGGGGAGTGGGGAGGGGGGGTAAAGAGAGGGAGAGGGGGAAAGGGAGAGGGAAAGGGAGGGAGAGGGAGAGGGAGAGGGAAAGGGAGGGAGAGGGAAAGGGAGGGAAAGGGAGAAGGAGAGGAAGAGTGAGAGGGAAAGAGAGGGAGAGGGAGAAGGAAAGGAAAAGGGAGAGGGAGAGGGAGAATTGAGGAGAGGGAGAATGAAAGGGAAAAGGAAGGAGAGAAAAGGAGGGAGAGGAAAATGCGAGAAAGAGGGAGAGGGAGGGGTTGGGGGAAGAGGAGCAAGAGGGGGGGGAGGGGGTGAATATGTCTCCTCGTCTCCTGGGAATCTCCGAAAGAGGGATAGATATCGGTCGACGTGAGGAGAGTTAGAAGGTGAATGGCAGGGGAGATATGGAGTACGCGTACACACACACGCACACACACACACGCACACACACACACGCACACACAGACACGCACACAGACACGCACACACAGATACACGCACACAGAGACACATGCTCACACAGATACACGCACACAGAGACACATGCACACACACACACACACACACACACAGACACGCACACACAGACACATGCACACACACACACACGCACACACAGACACATGCACACACACACATGCACACACACACATACACACACACACACAAACACGCATACATAGACACACACACATACACACACACACACACACACACACACACACACACACACACACACACATACACACGCACACACCGACACGCACACACACACACACACGCACACACACACACACACACGCACACACACATAAACACGCACACACAGACACGCACACACACACACACGCACAAGGTCACACAAATTGATATAAAAATAGATACAGATATTGATAGACAAGTAGATAGATAGATAAGTATCTGTGTGTGTGTATGTATATATAGATAGATAGATAGATAGATAGATAGATACATACATACATACATACATACATACATACATACATACATACATATATATATATATATATATATATATATATATATATATATATATATATATATATGAGTGTGTGTGTGTGTGTGTGTGTGTGTGTGTGTGTGTGTGTGTGTGTGTGTGTGTGTGTGTGTTCATGTGTGTTCATGTGTGTGTGTGTGTGTGTGTGTGTATGTATGTGTATGTGTGTGTGTGTGTGTAATACTAATACT